AAGGATTCTTAACGAAGAGAGAGGAAAATGGATTTAGCGCATCAAAAACGCGCGTCACCCTTCATGTGTGACGACGTTCTTGAGATGCTTCATCCACTCAACCCTTTAATATATATGATGCGTATGTATTGCACGTAAAACTTTGTAGTTTGCGCCGGAGGATTGTGTGGACGAGATGAAAAAGAGAGTTCGGTATATATAAAATAAAAGAATGCGGCGTCCGCTGGGAAATGACTATGTGCAGCGGCCGCCGCCATTACTTTGCCAAATAGAGAGAGTGTGATGAGCGCAGCAGCCAGGGGGACGACACGCTTTAATTGAGTAAATCCCTGATGTTGACTCTCTTCTCTCCGCGCGCGCTTTTATTCGCAGCGAGGGCCTATTTTCACCGCGCCACTCTCCGCTCCATCCCAGCGGACTTTCCGCGGCAAAAAGCAGCTTTGTCCGCACCGCGTTTTGCCTCCACTAGCGTCAATCAACAATTGCGCATCACCAACACAATTGTTTCACACACACAAAAAAAAACTCGCACAATGGACCTGCACCGACTTACATTGTGGAGCGTCATCAAAAATGCAAAAAGCGAATCAAAGAGATATTCCCCTTTGCTATGGTAAAAGCTCAATCAATTTAATCCAGCACTCATATTTGCTATTTATCTATGCAAATATGCAAATAATTCAGAGGAAATCCCTTGAAAATTGTAAAATTATTTAAAAAATGAAAATATATATTTTGAAAAGTCCTATATTAATGGCATAAATTCTTTGACTTTCATTCAAATTTCTTAAAAAAAGTACCTTTTTAACTATAAAATCAGAATGATTAACATTGAGCATTTTTCAATAAATTTATCTGTTCAATGATTTTTTTTATTTGTCGCATTTAAATAATTTGGTAAAAAGAGAATTAATATATTATCGGGTATAAAGAAAATTTTTGTTAAAGTTTAACTCAGGTGCATCAAAATTGTTTTCTTATTGAAAAAGCACTGAAAAATAGCGTCCTAGTCCTCATTTGGATTATTCATATCATTTGAACAATAAAAATTCAAGCTAAAAAAATCGGAAGAAATTTCATGTAAATCTACCCAGATTTTTTTCAATCATCTGCAATTTGTCGTAAACGATTTTCCTCCAAGATTTCTTTCTGACGATAATCCTTTCATTTTCGTCCAATTCAACGCATAAAGAGCGATGAGAGCGAAAGTGGGGATTAAAATCAGCGAGCTAATTTGCAGGCGACGCATTTCTCGAATAATAATCCTCTTTGCTTGAGAGATTTGATCTGAGTGTGACAGTCGGAAGTAATTGGCAGCCACTTAAACCCAAGCGCGTATATATTTTTTATTAGCGCATCTCTCTGCTCAAAATCGAATTACGAAAAATCCGAAAGCGCGGATGACGTGTGGGGGTGGGGGCTGCATTGTTGCGTGCAGCGTGTCGCGGGGGTGTCGGCGGCGGAAGCGAGGGTAAATCGCCGGTTAACCCTGGCCGCACGCGCGTCCCCCGCCGCAGCAATTACACGCCGATGATTGTTTCTAATGTGACAAATTGGCGAGGGTGCCACCGAGGGTTGCTGCCGGCAATTTGTTTGTGGGTAAATAAAGCTCAAGCACCGCGCCACGGTTAATTTCCAAAGCCGGAAATGACCCTCAAAATATTATTTACATACGGAATTATTGATACAAAAGTGAAATATACATATGCAAATAATATTTCATTTCTTAGTCTAGTTGATACAACTATTTTTTCTATGTTTCTACATCAACCAAATGTACAACAATTTTTCAACATCAGCCAAATGTAGAACTATTTTCAGAAAAAGCCGAATGTAGAACTATTTTTCAACAAAAGCCGAATGTAGAACTATTTTTCAACATCAGCCGAATGTAAAAGTTATATTTACTTATATTTCCTTTCATTAAAACTCATTTGAATTTCTTAAACATCAAACTTCTTTCAACAACAGAACTTATGTTGCTCTTAACCTTTTGTTCTATAATTTTGCATTTTTGTTAATTTAAATAAATTCCACAAATTTTATAATTATTTTTACAATAAATAGTAAGTTATGAATTATTATTTTTATTCCCTCAAGATTAATTTATTTCTCACAGAATATTTTTGCAAACCTGAATATTCAATTTGATATATAAAGAGCAATTATTTAAATCTTTTAATCTTATTTCAAATTAGAATTCAGATTATTTTTGGTTTTGACACGCAAATGCGATTGTGGCGCAGCGGGTGCGAGGAACGGCACGTGCCTCTCGCGATGTGCACTCTCGGCTCTCTTGCATTATTTGTCTGCTTCGCGCTGCTCTCCTGTGAGTCTCTAGCTTTTGCCTGCTTCCGACTTAATCAGCAGCAAACCAACCTCCATGCAGCACCACCGTGACGGCGGCCAACAATAAAAAGCTTTGATTCATTAAAGTGAGTGAGTGCTCGCGAGCACGCGATCCACCGTCCGACCGACCGACTTTGCATGTCGGATTACGAAAGAGGTGTGAGCAGTGCAAAGATCGCAAAGTATGACACAAATTCAAAGCTAAAAATTCATAAATTAAAATTTGAAATATCAAAACTTATTATTGGGTATTCAAATTGTAAAAATATTTCCATTATTTCATTCCATATTTAAAATTTAATAGTTCCAGAACTAGTTAATAACTTGACTGAACATTGGAAATCAGTTTTGTGCTAAATTTAGTAATTCATTTTATTTAATTATTTCGCTAATTTTCCTTCCAAGACACTTATAGAGAGCAAAAGAAAAAAAAATTAAAATTTATCCAATTAAACCATTCCAAATTTCGTAGTATTCACTTGGGAGTATTTTTTTAAAGGTTTTAATTGTTTCCAAAATCTATACATTGCAATTTATTTTATTTCAATGACATTTTATGTCGTAATTTATCAAATTTCTTTATTATTTGAGTGTAATGTTCCTTCCCAAAGTTTCAAATTTAACACACTGATTGTGAGAAGTGAAATTTCGTGTATTTGCGCCTCTCTTTGTGTGGAGCGAAGGAAGATGGTCATGCAGAGATAAGAGGGGGAAGCCGTGTCGAGAGTCGGCAGAGCGAACGAGCCGCCGACCATCAACATCACACCCTCTGGCCAAATAGAAATAAATACGGTGGCCGGCCTTGTTAGCGCGGCGGAATGGCTCTATTAATCTCGCTCGCACACGTGCTCCGAGCCGCGTTTTCGAAACGGCCAGCTTGACCTCATCTCCACAACATGCAAATTAGTCTCAGGATGGCACAGAAAAGAGACACAAACAGCACACCATCATTAAAATTTTTCATATAAGAAGTAGCTAGCCGGAGAGGAAAAATTGGCCAACTTTCTTTCATCTAAATTAATGTTCAGTGATTAAAAATGTAAATTTTTTTTTCTAAAATTTATAAATGTGAGAGGTTTTATATTCAAACAGTTTTATTCTAAACCAGTATTTAGCCAAGTTATATAAATAAATTAACACTTGATAAATATGAATTAAAAAAATTAGTTTTTTTATTTAGTCTGAAATGAGCCGTCTTTAAATAAATTTTACCCCTTTCTGACGTTGCGATCAAACGCCTTCCGGCCGAAAAAATGGTTGGAATCAATTAGCAGCGAAAGGAAGCTTGTTACTTAAGGCAATTAAAAACCAACAGACGCTAAGCGGCGAGAGCAACACGCCGCAAAATTCATTTCGCAGTGCAAATATTTGCAGTGCCGCTCCTGCGGCTCTTTCTGCTCTCCTCTCGTACATTTGGCGATCAACAGATCTTCTCGCTCCTTCCCCGCGTCAAATAATATCTTCTCATATAATAAATCCGACTACATGAAATTCAGTATAGTGAAAGGAGCAGATTTAAATGGAAAAGCGGCAAGCGCGTGCCCCTGGAAGGGTAGGCAACGCGTCGGTCACGACCGACGGGCAAATTGCATAATTCACTTGAAAAACTCTCCAAATTCAGAAAATATAGAGTTAGTTTTGAGATTATCTTTCAATTATATCCATCTAGTTCTGAACGCAAAATGTGCACTTTCCAGCATTACAAAATCAATAAAAAAAGTTATATCGATTCTCAGATAGTTGTTAGTGTGCGTGTGTTTTTTCTGTTCTAATCAGTGAAGAGTTTGTGTTGTAAAGTGTAAAGCAGTTTCAGGGTTTAATTTTTAAGAGGTTTTACGTGGCTTTACTGAAACTGTGCGAGGAAAACTTGGCTTTAAAGAACTGGAATATACAAAACAAAATTAATTTTGACTTTTAATTGAGAAATTAATTTTTTTAAATGGGCTCAAAAATTAATATTTTAGAGTCAAAATTTCAATTAAAAACCCGGAAAATTATTAAATTAGGGTAAACAGAGCAACGAAACTAGCCTGGCCACGTAAAAACCTCTTAAAAAGTTAATATAGAACACAATACAGTTTGGAAAATGAGATAATTAAAAGACGAACAGCGATGAAAGTCGACAATAAACCATACTTTAGAGCCTGGTCTTTTGACCACATTGATGTCGGTGTATCTAAACGGACCTAACAGCAGAAAAGATTTTCAAAACTCACACCTCTTAAATACTTAAATGAAAATTTATCTATTTGTTGACTGGATAATATGGAAAAATGATACAATATTTATAAAAAAAGTTTAAACGGTTTTCTTCAATAATTACGATTGATTTGGCGTCTTACAAACGATTTGGCAAAAGAGCAAAGTGTTGCCCGGCCAGTTTGGCGGCAGGAGGCGGCTGCGGCGGGGGCGGTGGGGGCAGGATCGGTGTCAAAATTAGCAGTTTGGCTGCCCCGGCGAAGCGCGCACAATCGCAGCAGCAGGGAAAGGGCGGGCGAGGATGACATTGGTGAAGTGAGCGACGGCCGCCATTGGCCGAGCCGCGTGCCGCCGACAGCCACTCACAGCTGCCCCGAAATGGCTCTCCCCCCTCCACCGGCGATAGATCATTACCGTGATTACCGGTCGACGGTGGTGATACCTACGTCTGCCTCTGCCTATTCTCGGGGGATGCATTTTGACACCCCGCAACGGCAGCAGCCAAAGGGACACACACACTCACTCCTCCTCCTCTTCTCACACTCCTCTCGCCACCGAACTCGGCGGCCAGGCAAACAGTCTTGTCGTACCTTCAGTTCGATCCACGGTGCAGCCTCACCTCTGCAGGGTCTCCAACATCATCTCCAAAACTGGCCACCAACTGATGCCCTTTTCGTGAACAACGCACGCTCTCTCTCCTTCCGCTGATTTTATCCAAACTCAAAGGTAGGTTCGATTTTTCTGCTGCGACTCTATTATGAAAAACAGCTGATTTATATTTTAGAGAGAGTCAAGTCAATTTCTTGATAATTGATCAGAAGACCATTTTTCTTTGTAAATGACAAAATCATTTTGTAAACCAGGCACTCGAGGATTTTGGGCTTGAAAAAACTTAAAATTAAAAACTTGCATTTTTATTTTTTTTTATGGGCGTCTTAAATTCTTCTCTAAAGATGTATTTACTTCAAAGTACAAAAGTGTTCAAAGGATGAAACACGTATTAAGAAATTTCTATCAAGTTCAAAAACTATGGTTAAAATTTTATCTGGATTTGATGACCAGAATTATAATAATTACTTGGATTTTCATTGGAACGATTTGTAATATTGTAAAATTTCTTGGAAGTTACAAACTAATTCACCAAAACAGAGATAAAAAGATTGATTGATTTGCAAGGAAATGCCTTAAAGTATATAATATGCTGTTCATATTGTCTGTCTTGTTTAAAATAAGAGAAAGAGAGCAACTGATTTGAGAATATACTTATAATTCTTGTAGATTAATTATATAATCTTCTTGCATCTGCGTGTAAATGAATGCAATATTGATTTGCCAAGAGGAATATAAATTATTTTAATCAGCTAGAGGCTATATGATATTTCTGGTATTTTTTAACAAGTAGACGAATCCAACAATGAAATTTAACTAGAATTGGTTTAAAAGGTTATGATGATATCGATTCATAGTAAGAGCCTGATGAAAGAAATGAATTATTAATTTTGTGGGGCAAAAATTTAATAAATTAAGATATTTACTGAACAAATATGTCAAGAATATGTCTAACTAAATATTAACAAATGTGCAAAATAGACTAAACAATTTTTTAAATTTTTTTGTTAAATAATATTATTATATACAAACTGTATAATATTACTAATTTATATATTTTATTGTCTTATTTTAACATTATTAATGGTTTTAAATATTTAAAACTTATTAAATTTAATTATTCTAGTGATTTTGATTGCACAAAATTAGTAAATTAAAGCAGAAATCACGGTTAACAAGATCTATAATTTTAAATATCTTTCTATATAAAATTTATAAATTGTGAACAGCGATATTCTAATAATTAAAATTAATTAATTTCAAATAAAAATCATACAATTTTTTTATTTGTTTTTAACAATGGAAAAGAGAGATAAAATCTACATTAAATACAAAAAAGTAAGAAAAAAGATTCCGTCGCTTGGTGTGCGCCAGGCAAAAGCACTCAACTTGACAAAAGAGATTTCCTGGTCGTCTGGAAAATAATGGAAAAACGCGGCCGTGCTGTTTTAATCTTTTGGTGCGACGGGACGGCACTCGCGAATAATTTGCAGATGCGCGGTGTGGCGGGGAAATAAACGGATGCAAAGTGCTGCGGAAATGAGAAAAGCACACAAGACGAAAAAACGCGCTCGTGCTAAAGTCTTTAGTCTTTTGCAATTGTCAGTATGCTCGGCGGAGCAGAGTGAGTGCTGCATGAATTAGAGAGAGAGGAGCAGAATTAAGATGAGCCGAGAGAGATATGCACATGCTTGACAGTCATTTGCAGCTCCACCACAACTCGCGAAATGGGCAGCTATGCTCAACAACACGGTTCATAATAAATACTGCTTTATAATTATCAAAAGTTTTCAAAAAAAGTTGATTATTATTTAAAAATTTGCAAATCTAGGGAAGGTGAAATAATAAAAATAGGATCGCAAAACTTAATTTATTTTTACCTCCCATTTCAATTTTTATTTTTTTACATCACTGAAACATGAAATTATATTTTTAAATTTTTTGTGCTAAATATACATATCATAATATTTCATAATTGAAAATATTGGCTACATAATTCTGCAATATGTTAATTATATAAATTATTTATTGCCCTTTGTCTAAGCAAATTTTTTCAGCTCGTCCAGCATCAAGTTGTACTACCAAAAAATAATTAGGAAACTTGATTATTTATCTTTTTTGAAGACTGCAGATTGTTTTCTGCAAAGAATAAAGCGTAATAAAGGATATTCAATTCAATTAAGTTTAAATATTAAATGATAAATTCAATTTAAAAAGCTGAAACACGAGCAGTTTCAGGATTTTATTCTACATAAAAAAATCCTTTGAAAAGGAACTGTACTGTTGCTAATTTTTCCAATTGTATCAATTTAATACATTTATTATCCCGCAACAATTCATCACATTGTTTACATTCAAATTTAAATAATTTGTTTAAAAAAAGAATTGTTGATCATAACGACTACACCATTCTGAGGAAGAATTTTGCGAAAAATCCCTCTTCCACAGCAAATAATAAAACTAAAAATGTTCAGACGAGGAGAAGGTTTTTTTAAATGCTGAGTCTGTCTTCAAATCATTGCAAAAATTATGAATTATTGGTTCATAAAATTTCAGACTCAAACTGAATTTGTTTGGACATTTTTTATAAGGCCTTTTTAGAGGCAAGAAGAACTTTCTTTGCGGAATTTTTAATTTTCTTTTTTATTTTAGTTTTACAATTTTACTAAAAATTCCTTATAAAACCTAATCCAGCAAATAATTTTAATTCCATGTTCAAATTTGATAACAAGATTAATTAAAATACCCCTCAAGTTTATCGTCTGTGATATAGAAATTGGAAAATTAACTAACCTAAAAAAAGATTCTTTGAGACATTTTGCTTAAACGGTTATTAAAATGTCAATTGTTTCTCACTTTTGAAACCAATTTTAAGCAAAATCTGACTAAAATTTTCTGTAAAAGTTGATTGATAAAAGCGCGACGTGGGCGAGTTTGTTCGTTTCGTGGGGTTGCGGCGGATCGTGCCAAGCGGCCGTTTGTCACCCACCCCACGGAAAAAAGCGTGTGTGCGTCGAGCGGCAAAGAGATAGCGAGAGATAATTACGTGGCCTCTCCTGAGCGACCACCCTGCAGTCTTGGAAAAAAATATCCACCCCCGCATCCTTTGTTTCGCGGAGGAGTGTATATAAATTGTTTTTATCTCTAGCGTGTGCCACTTGAAATAAAACGAGGCGCGCAATTACCTGCTGCTTGGCTTCCTCCCTCGCCCCGCGCCGAAAAACCACCCCCGGCCGCGGTGCAGCCAAGGCACCCCTTTAAGTAATAAACTATTAACCGGCGCGCCCGCTTATCTAATGAGATGATATTAAAAGATTAGAAACAAGCCAGCAAGCGTCGCTAATCCTGCTAATTTCCTATACCACCCAAGTTCAAATTGAAAAATATTAAATTTAATAAATGAAATAAGAAATTAATGCAAAAATAATTATGCAGTTTTGCTTTTTTCATTATGTTGGGTTTCTGAGAGTCAGGTAAGTCAGGTTATCTCCTTATTGGAAAGAAAAAAAAACTATAAAATTCCATAGATCTAGCTGCAACACATGGGGTAAAATTGATTTTCTTTTTATTTGGCATTGTTTCCTTTTAAAAATAAGATTTAACAATAGTGATAGGCGAAAATGTATATTTTATTATTTCAAAAGGAATATTTTAGGCGGCTGAATTTAACAATTCCACATATGAATGCAGATTATTATGATAAATGAAGTTTTTAAATTGATAAGTTACTATGAATTTGGATATAATAAAGCAGAGAATTGAACAGAATCATATATCAATTTTTTCGAGGATGTCGACACCAAATTGGTGAAAAATTGTATCTTGCTTTTGTATTTAACCAAATGAATATTTATAAAATAACCGTTCATATTTCATAGATAAAATCCTATAATCAGTAAAATTGAATTATTAATTCATTTATGCCCTAATATGCATTAAATTCTAAAAGGACTTTTGGTAGCTCAAATTTATTAATATTTTTGTTATTGACGATTTCATTCGAAAATATTTAATTTTATTTTGATTTCATTAAAAACCATTTCATTCTCTCTAAAAAGGTTGACCAATTAAAAATTAATTAAAGGATATGAATGTTAATTTTCACTCAGTTTGGTATAGCTTCGGGATATTTTGAACCATAATAAACTTTTATAAATGTATGTTGAGGTCTCTGAGCTGTATTTATATATTTACTAATGTGAAGCCAAGCTTGGCAATAAACAATAAATCACTTTCCCGCAGTCTCGTTTGTATTGTAAAATCTAAAATCTATTTGGACACGCGTGCAATGATTGTCTATGCATGTGCGTGTCCGTGTAAAAGCGCAGGCAGTTCCCGCCGTCTCTCTCTTTTTTATTTTATTTATTTCTTCCCCTCTTCGCAAAACTCTGCCGCGGCTTTGTTTTATTTCCTACAAATGATTTAAAAGTGCTGAGAATGTTAATTTCCAGGCCGCAGCGCGGGCCGCACGCGATTTCCGTGTTTGCGTCGACGCAATATTTAATAACGTTATACGCGATGATTGAGTGCAAACTACACGGTTAATATTTGTGTGTGTACTCGGGCCAGAGGGAAGGGGAGGCAGATTCAACTGGTTACTACATTTATGGATTATGACGTGTATGAATTAATTAAAGAGCCGTCCAAAAGGGGCAGCTCGTGAATGCGTGAAAAACGCTCTAATCGCTCATGTAAATCACGGAAATCACTCAACGCGATCAGAATATTCAAAATGTTTATTACTGAAATCCTGAAAACATTATCAAATCAAAGATTTTTTCAATTGGCTCTTTCAGGGAATTCTTTCTTTACTTAATATCGGGATTGAATTTCGGAGTAATTTTCGTAATTTTTACAATTTTTTTTATCATGATTATATAATTACCTGAAAATGATATCCATTTAAAAGATTTTAATCAATTTTAATTTCACCATTCAAATTAACTGGTACCTGAAATTTATTTTTGATAATAATGATAATTTATATTGTGAAAAATGGTGAATTGTTTGCTATATCGCCATTGCATTAACACTACCGAATTTTTGACAGCAAATTACATTGGGCAAAAATTAAAAGCTGTTCAGATCCCCAAAAGCGTAGTTCATATTGTGTTCTA